TTGGGGGTTGGAGTAATTGTCCAAAAATATCACACTTATCCCATGCAGTAATAAAACTTAACCCTGGTACTGGTGGTATATTAGTATAGGTACTACTGTCTCTGTATTGGATTATGTCTTGGGTGTAGAGGTCCTCGTCCTCCCACGGAACTAGATGGTAAGGGCAGCTGTCACTGCTCATGTAGTCTGCCACCAGCTCGTCTGCTTCTTCTCCTGGTCTTCTCTTCAACACAACAGGGTAGACTGCCTGTGTGTCACACAGGTGAGGGGATTATTCTGCCCCTTCTCTCACCAGTTTAAGGTCTGCCTAGACTTCTATCAGAGGTCTCGTTAGTGCCTCCGCAGGGGCACACTGGCTCCCGTGATACCACGTCTCTCCCTTTCCCTGTAGGCGGACTGCGTGAGATGTCCTTTCAGTCACCTTGTAGGGCCCAGTCCACCGTGGCTCACTCCAATTTCGTTTGATCACTCGTAACAGGACCCACTCAGCCGTGTGTGTATCAGTATGGGTGCCAGGCGACGTGGGGACAGTAGCTAGACTGGTGAAGCTGCGAACAAGAGATTTTAATTGTTCATATAATTGGTGGGTGTTGTGTGTGTCTGGCTTACCCGGTACCCATGTTAACTTGGATGCTGGTCCTGGGAACTGTCTGCCAGTGATGAGCTCATATAGGGTGAATCCAGTTGAGGAGTTTACAGACTGCCTCACTGACATAAGAGCCAGTGGGAGAGCATCTACCCAATTCAATTTGGTCTGTGCACAGATTTTAGCCAATTTTGTTTGAGTGTAGAGTTCATTCACTCTATTTTCCCTTGTGACTGGGGGTGATAAACACTCCCAAACCCATGTTTCAGCCCTAGAGCTGCTTCCACCTACTGTAGATCTTTGTTTTTGAAGTGAGTACCATTGTCTGACCTGATTTTTTTTTTCTTAGAGGTAGCGAGATTTTTTATGGTAGCAGCATTTTCCAATCTTACACAGACTTTTATTGTTCTCTTTGTTACCTTCATGTCATGGCAAACAAGTTGGCCATGTCTCTTCTTTTTCCATCTTTACAACAAAAACACCTCCTACCTACATACAAAAACCTTCTTATCTCCCTTCCCCTACGTACGTTTTGGGTAATCTCTTGATTACTCCCGCTTAACTTTTACCATCTATCATCTATGCAAGATATCACATCCACTTTCACAGGAAGTTGGTGGCTCTGCACACCTTGCACTAACCTTTCATTTCAGTTTCAAGACAACTTTATCCATCTCATCTCTTATCTCCTCAGCCTTCAGACAACATTCTCCTATCCTTTACAAGTTTAACTGCTCCATCCCTCAGGACAGTTTCATGCATCCTACTGCTTTCAGCAGG